ATAGTGGGATTGACCGTCACATTATAACGCCCCCACGGCTGAGAAGGCGAGCATGTTTGGTGTGACGGGGATTTGAACCCGCGAGTGGTTACTGGATTGGAAGAGTTTGTTATTCCTTATATGTTATATATTTAAACAGCTAGCTTTCCGAACACTAAAACAATAGCTGCTATTAAAATAAGAATGTCAATGATATGAATACCCAAGTGTAACTACGCATGTGTAAGATTTCAGTAGTAGAACCAAAAATCCCAGCCTATTACAACACAAAAGGCATTTCGAGACGTTACAAAACTCAAAGCAAACCCTAATAATCTGTCAGCTACGGAAATGGTTTAAAGTTCACTGTCATTCTCCTAAATATAATAAGCTTCAAAATATTCTGATTTAATATCATTTAAACACAGTAATAACCCGTTAGGATGATAGAAAGCTTTTTGCGAAATTGATAATTACGGCCGTTTTCGTCGTGACCAAATATATTACAAGATGTGCATTGTTTTGGAATGTATATGATAAAATTATATCTCGGATAAATTACTCCTCTTCAATAAACAATTACTAAATATTTTATATTATAAACATAACAAATGAAATCTTACATGTACGATAATAATTGAAGATGAATCAACATAACAGTGGATACATAATGTACATAATGGAATAATATACAGATAGCTCTTTTCCCTGTTAGTTAACACTGTGATGTTCCACTACTGTATAGTTTGATTATATAGGACAGCAGTGTTCTGTTGACTATAAGTAACATATAAAACCAAGTGTATTTGAGGCTGTAATAAGTTGTGCAAAGGAAAAATATCATAATAAAAATGATGTAATGCGGCAGCTGTTTCTTATCATCATATCAGCTTCATGGTTTCTCGCGAAATGAACGCAAGTAGCTTTTACGACAAGGTATTTAAACAAGTGGAAGACACCGTAATAACATAGCCCACAGTCTGATGGCATTTAGAAAACATAAATACTTGGTAGATGGCTAATAATTATAAGTACGTATTTTATTCATCTTTAATTTAAGGTAATCGTATGTAAGTAAAAAAATATATAATACATATACATAAATATAGTTTCAAAATAGCGTTTTTGGAAACAAAAAGCAAGTGTGAAAACTTGACATAAAAGTATCTATCATTATCATTGTTAAAAATGCATACTTATACCCTTGTTGGATATAGAAAAACGCAAGTTTCCATGCTAATTTGCTTACTTATCACTGTCAGAGCTTTAGGATTTCGAGTTTTCGAGTACAAAAATCTATATGAGCTCGTTCAATACAATTTTGTCTGTCTCTTTACGTTTGTTTATTTGTTATTGTTGTTTTTTTTTAATATGGCAGCTACTGTTAAACATAAGCAGCAGAAGTTATTAATGGTTTACATTCCTCTCGCCATGTGTTAAAACTAATTTGTAACAAGTAACAAGTTGTAACTAAGTTGTAACAAGTAACAAGTTGTAACTAAGTTGTAACATCATCAACTCTAGGATGAACTATTTGTTCCAAAATTGTTATAATTCTGCAAAAAAAAGTTTCATTTTTTTATTCTTATCTACAGATGTGCTTTTATTTTTTTAGCAACAAGATCATTCCAACGTATCGTGCTAACTGTTTGACTGAACACGAAAGAGATTCGTTTTTATCATCTTATCACATTTCAAATGATGTTAATTTTGAAGATTAATTACCACCTGCTACATCAACTACCTACAAGAAATTAAAGGTTCAGTCATATAATCTTACTGTATATAATATTTAACGACTATCTATATCTAATTGTGATGATCCTATGAACGCTAAAGTAGCCTTTGCTTATGGTTCTTTCTTATTTAACATGTTACAGAGGTATATGTGTAAAAAGATGTAAATATATATAGAGAGATGGGAGAGTTACGTGTTTAACGTCGAACAATATAAATAGTTTCAAGACATTTTGTAATTGTTTGTTGGTTGTTTTTGAGTGCACCATTCTTCCACATATGATGAGTATTCTCATCAACGATTTAGTAACGAACTCCGTTCCCTTAATGTATCTTATGGAAACCATCAGACAGTTTATAATTTCTCTTACTAAAATGAAGTTTAATTAGCTTTAATTATAATTACTGTTTGACTTGTCGAGTGATGAATCTTTGACCAGTTTGAGCATGTTAGAGAGGGCATGTAAACATTCCCTTTTCACCATCAAACTTATCTCGCTCTGCTGTGTACAACGAAACATACGTTTACAGGAGAGAGAGGTTTGTCGCTAATGTTTGTAAGTACTTGAAAATTGGTATGCGATATAAGACATACCTTTAGCATGTGAAACGTTAGAAAAATACTGAAGAACAGGTAATTGAATCACTAAGTCTTAGAGTCTGGTAGTTCGATTGAATGAGGAAGAAGTTTAGTTGTTAAAAAGGATTTTTAAGCAGAATCAAGCTGCCTTTTATTTAAAATTAGTAAGTTTCACGGAAGTCAAATGAATCTTGACTGTCTTACAATAGCACAAACAGTCATACATTCAGAGCATATGTTGAAAGAACTTTCTGATTCATGATTGTTTAATACAAAAAAAAAAGAAAGACAGGATAGGCCTTCTGTTTAAGGAACCTCAAGATAAAGGTCTCTGGTGTATGGTATGTTCAGGTGAAGGACCTTATAACAGATAATTTTGGTTTCCAACACCATAAACCTGAAAAAATATTTAAAGTGAATTAACTAGCAACATTAAATATGTTTGTAATGTATCAGGACCACACACACACACACATATATATATATTGATTGATTAACAAGTATCTTTCATATGAAACATGGGACTTGTGAGTCTGTCATGAGTACAACTCTAAACTATCAAGCAGTATGAATATTATCTCTGTATTGGTATTTCGTATTTATGGCACATCTACTAAGATTAACTGCCACCGTCCCTAATTTTGAACTACTGACCAGAAGGAAGGCAGACAATCAGAACGACCATCATCCACGTTAAGGGATTGATAATGGCCATAATAATCATGACCAGAAGGAAGGCAGACAATCAGAACTACCATCATCTACGTTAAGGGATTGATAATGGCCATAATAATCATGACCAGAAGGAAGGCAGACAATCAGAACTACCATCATCTACGTTAAGGGATTGATAATGGCCATAATAATCATAACAATGAACTGAACTACTGACCAGAAGGAAGGCAGACAATCAGAACGACCATCATCTACGTTAAGGGATTGATAATGGCCATAATAATCATAACAATGAACTGAACTACTGACCAGAAGGAAGGCAGACAATCAGAACGACCATCATTCACGTTAAGGGATTGATAATGGCCATAATAATCATAACAATGAACTTATGTGAAGATAAATTATATTTTAATGGTAATCATATAAATGCCAAATTAAGAAAAGTAACAGATGCTACGAATGTCATTGTGTTGGCAGTATTAACCTAAAGAAATCTGCGGTTAGTGCTCATTTATTTATGTATCTTATGCTTGGTGTGCGCTATTTCAAATTCACGAACGTTTATAACTATATTTAGGTTTCAAGTGTTGGTAAGCAATGTATATCTGAATGGCAAAATGATTGGTATTTTATAGGCTTAATAAGTAAAAACCTACTCCATTTTTGTTTGTGGTTCATTTCCTTAAATTTCATTGATCATAAAGTTTATAATATTTGTTTGATTATATTTATAATTATGAAGACTAATTGGCATTGTAAGCTTAGTGTTTAGATTTACGACTAATCTAAATCTCTTGAGTTGGCAGAAACTCGTGAGATATTAATGAGATTTAGACAGAAAATATTATTAATATGCAATACATTCAACTGATGATTTAATACAATCTAATCATTATAGATTTAGTTTGCTGGTTTATAACATCTAGGATGATAATAAAACAATATTTTTAGGGGTACAAATATTGGAGGTATGAGAAGTTGAAACCAAAAACATTCCAAGTTTAAATTATGATTTTAGTCAAAAATCTTGATGACAAGAAAAGTTTTCTTACCATATAGGCGAATTGACCCTTCCGTTTCTCCGAGAGAATTTTTAGCGAAACATCTGTATTTTCCATAGTCAACAGGTTCCACGTTTCGTATGGTTAACTTCATGTAAATCTTGTAAGTTTCTTCTATGGTACCACAGGTATATTTCATGTTTGATACAATCATAGCACCGTCTTCCTTTGTCCAATAATTTACTGGTGTTGGGAAAGCTTCGGTGTGACATTCCAATGTGATGTCACTTCCTAGAAGCGCTCCGACCAGTTGATGTGGAATCCAGATTAGTGGTGGGACTATATAAAATCCGATACACTTATTGTGACAGAAACTCTGCGAAATGATATCATTAGAACTTAAAAATAGCAAATATATATGCATGATCACGACTACATATAGTTATTAGTTCATGTTCTATAATTACAAAAACAAAACCACAGGAAAGGACATCAATAACTGATGAATTGTTTACCATAAGCCCCATAACAGGCTCTTCTAATATGTCAAAATTAGTTCATGTTCTATAATTACAAGAACAAAACCACAGGAAAAGACATCAATAACTGATGAATTGTTTACCATAAGCCCCATAACAGGCTCTTCTAGTATGTCAAAATTTAACGAGTAGGCAGGCAGTTTCCATGCGTAAGTGTAATTTTTGTCATGCTGTATATAGTACGAAATCATATCATTCTCAGTGATGCTACTCAAAACATTATATCTTCATATTTATATATGTATATTTCATATTGAAAATTGCAGATTTCACTGTCCAAATTGGTTTTTAAGCTTATCTTTGATCCATATTTATAAAATTGTTAAACACATATCTATATCGTAATAATCGTGTGTGTGTAAATATATACATACGAGTCAAAACACCAATAATATTCAACTATAGATAAGAATAACAAAATACAGTGTTTTGTTATATACGTATGTTAAACAATTTGTGTGTTCTTACATAAGAACAATGTATTTCAATGTGAAAGACCAAGCTCCACTCTCCATAACTGTATGCAAGTACTAAAACAGTTAGGTAACAATTTACCATGTTGTCAATCACTCCTCAGTCCCAGTAAAATTGACAATAACCCTCCACAATACATGAGATAATAGTCAGCACTAATAACTAGCAGTAAATATATAGTCATACATTTTTTTAGATGCCTTGATTTTAACAAATCTTTAATCGATATTGATGATTCCCCTATACACACATCTTCTTGAGATAATAAACAAAGCAAAGAAACCTATATATATATATGTTTATTTATATTGAAACCAGACTAAATGCCTGTTTTAGTTTAAATGGAAACGAATACTGAGACAAAGAAAGTACGTTTAAAGCGTCTAAGGACTAATTACAGACAGATGTGTTGATTCTCTAACAGGTCTGTGTAAATATCTAATGTACTTTGTGATTTCTTTATCATGACAAATCAAAAACCAAACTGTCGTTCTTGATTTATAATCAACAAAATTATTATGATGGTTAAGGTAAAACACTTCCAGAAAGATGTTATTTATATTTTTGTGACGTTGTATAATTATGAATTGAACTTCTACGTTCTTTACTAAAAATAACAAACAATAGAAAGACAATGGCTCAAAACTTTGAAATACTCAAAGAGTTTATTATTGACGATCATTTTACTCTTGTTTGGAGGCATCATAAGGGGAGCTGTCAAATATGTGTTTCTTAAAACATTTGCTTTAAAATCTCAAATGTGACTTTATGATTTTTATTATAGCTTTCGAACAACATCTACAGATGCATAATTATAACAAGTTTTCGTTATAACCTTTATACCTCAAATGATTAAAAACAGTAGGGGACTGCACCTTATAAATATGGACATCCCGAGTCATTCCGAGTCCGTCAGCCAAGTTTGGTCCTGCTAGCTCCAAAAGTGTGAGAGAAGTTTGTAAACAGACTCATTCCCACACAAGATGAATTAATATAAAACATGTCAAACTAAAAGTTTCAATAATATTTTCTCTTTATGTCATATAAAAATCAATTCATGCGAGTAACATAAAGATTATCCTCCACATCAGCAACGGAGTTTTGTATTTGTGACGATTTGTTTGTTTGTTTTGAATTTCGCGCAAAGCTACACAAGGGCTATCTGCGCTAGCCGTCCCTGATTTAGCAGTGTAAGACTAGAGGGAAGTCATCACCACTCACCGCCAACTCTTAGGTTACTCATTTACCAATGAATAGTGGGATATACTGTCACGTTATAACGCCCCCACGGCTGAAAGAGCGAGCATGTTTGGTGTGACGGGGATTCGAACCCGCAACTCGCAGATTGCGAGTCGAGCTCCCTAACCACCTAGCCATGCGGGGCTTGTATGTAGCCGTAAATTAAATATATGGATGCTGATCATGTCACCCATGGCGCTACGACTCGCACTGTAACAACACGCCACCGCATTAGAGTGTGGAAGTCATTTTTATGAAATACAATTAACCGTCTATGTCCCTGAATTAGAAAAAGTTATTATTCGAAAATCCTGTCATGATAAACAAACTGTGTTATCTATCACTACAGTTCACCCTCTTTTCACGCGAAAATAATTTAGTCAGTTACCCAATAAAACGAGTTTGAGTTATTAAAAAAAAAAGACAAAAACGTTTACGATTCGATAACTACTAAGAGAACTTAAAGCAATAAAATGAAAACAAAATAAAAATTCAAATATATTATTGAAGTTTATTGTTAAATAAATGTTACTGTTTCGATTTAAACGTTTAAGACCAAAAGAAAAGCAGGATGTAGAATATGAAGTTAAGTATTATTTCTTGGCATTTGTGTATAATGTTAAATGTATAATTAGATTAAGTGTTTTTTTTTTATATTTTATAAATAACATTTTTCATCACTTACACGTAAGTGAGCTAGAGCAAGTAATAACGATCATAGAATAATTAATTGGTATCATATGATGACGTGTTAATTATTATTGTTGAATATATAACTTATTCGGAAGGTTGTATTAAGTATCCGCTCGATGAATGCATTCCGTCAGGGTACGTAAATATGTATATATAATATGGGAAATTGCTGAGTGTGACATTGGTAATGACAGGAAGAAAAGGCTAATTCAAGATTGGTTGGTTGACTGCTTGGAGTATAGTGGCACAAAGCTACGTGGCTATTTGTGCCAAACAACCATTAAAAAGGCAAAAAGAAGTAAAAATCTACAAAAAGTAAAAAAGAAAATAAGCTAAAGGCTAAACAATGCCCAAAGATCAGGTAAAAACTATATATATTTTTAAAGGCCATAAAAAGCTCAAAACACAATTAAAAAAAACTGGACAATGACCTCATCTCCAATGACACTTTCCAACATCAGGGGTAAATCATTCGAAATAATATGTCTAAAATGGTACCACCACTCACATTTGTAACGACGGCACGAAAGTAAAACGTGAGCAATTATGATTCTATCTCAAGAATAAACTTTTTTTTTACCCGGTACACAACAACTTTTACTGATTGAACTAATAGTAAAAATGTTTTAAATAGAACATGTATACGAAGTACTATCTCGTCTAGAAACCAGTGTCGACGGACACTTCGTGTTATACCTGAGACTAACAATCACGTCTTAATGTTACATTCGTAAGGCAGTTGGACCTATCCACCTTCTATTGGAGATTATTACTGAACCGATCATAAAATTTCCCTCGTTACTGCACTAGTGTATATGTGCTTTTAGTTATTTAGATGATAAAAAGACCCTAAATAGCTGCCTACCAACGTGCATCAAGCACTCAATATATCAACCCATAGATCTGGAAAACAGTAAACAAAGTAATCGATATTTAATACTGAAGTACAATTGGCATGTTATCGGTTAACTCACACGATACTTAACTAAACGTTACTCAAACAGGAATATGAGAAAACTACATTTCACAAGCAAATTCTTATTACAAAATCTTAATTAATAGATATATATTATTTAAATATACATAGATATTTGACTATATATGTCTGTGTCTGTTCGTGTGTGCGATTCAGTTTACTTTTGAGACTCAACCCACAGGAATCGAGTCTAGTTGATATAACACCAATTTCAGCTTAATTTTTATTTTAGTAAAACAATCAGAACAGTTGCATGGACTAGTTACAACCACAAACAGACCTTAAAATAGATAACATATGTATAAACATTGTATGTTCTTAGTCATACCCGAGAACATTGCTGAAAGTAAGTTGTTGGTAAACATTTAATCAACAAAAACTAATTAAAAAACGAGATACGTGAAGGATATAACAAGAGAATAAAAGAGTCACGACTATTTAATGTAGAATTAAACTTTTCACTCAAATAAGTTATATTCTTCCTTCATCGTATTTGAGAAATATTTTCGTAGTTTTGTTTTCCATTGTTGTATCTTGAACAAGCTTTAAGTTATTAAGCCTATAAGACAATAGGATTGAAATATGATCAAAAAACCAAAATATTAGTTATTTTCTTTTCTTCTGACATAACTCAAAACATGGAAAAATCATTACGTTGGAAACATCTGTGTTAAGATTGAAACTGAGCTGTTAAAAGTTTTCTAACTGTGTATTTTAATTTCAAAAAGCTAATATTTCTATTGAGGAAAGAAAATAAGAATTTAGACTAAACTTAGCTCTAGTGGGTCTACCAGTAAAAAGTTAAAAGGTTTAAAAATGTCACTGTCAATTTAAAATGCAAGATTGAGAATGATGTAATGATTTTGTTTTTATCTGAAACCTAAAGCGGTAACATTATTTTCTTTCATTAATGCATCAAATTTATCACTTCCGTCAATTTAGTCAAATCCATAAGCTGATTTTTATTTTATTTAGAAACTTCACTATATTCACTTTGTATTTTTCTGCAGTTGTTGTTTTCCAAAACTCGGTGGTTACTTGCCCCAAGCAATTTTTTTCTGATATTGCTTTACATTTCTTTTTCTTCAGACACTACTTTTAAATCCAATATTAAGCGATTTTAGAAGTATACTTCATGCTCCTCATACGGGTACGATAAAGTCTCATCATAATGTTTGAAAGTAGCACAAATAAGAACAAATAAGTTATACTTAGGATATAACAACTTAACTTCACTTAAAGAATGTTCAGAGTGCATTAAGCTGATTACTCGTGGTTAATGATTAATTCGTAGACAAGGGCTGGATAAACTCACTAGTATTCTTGTAACATCGCACACATAATCCGATCGTTGCTATTGGATAGATTATGGGCAATGAAGCGTGACTGCTCTAGGCATCAATAACATTCGTAACATATATATATATATATATATAAAGATTGCTAACACAAATAAATAAATCTAGTTTGCCCTAAGCACTCGAAGAATTCTTAATTTTAGCAGCATTTGTTTGCTATATTGTCATGTTTGGTGAATTGGCTAATCGAAGTACTAACATAAGATATAACATCTACAAAACTTAAAGCAAATTAATATACAAAAAACACAGACATGTGTATCATGACAAAACCCTATATTAACGTACTTATTTCAAACGAAATATATTATTAAGTTAGGCAGCAGCTGAAAACTATACAAATCTTTGTAACCAACAGACTGCTTCAAACCGCCTATATATAAACAAATAGGTTTAAACAGTGATCCAAATCTGAAATGTTTTGATACCAAATGCGGCAAAACATGAAGAAATAAAACATTTTTATTCAAAATATAAGAGAGCTCTGTTACAAATGTGTGTTTAAATTCTTTAGTTTTCATTATTTGCAGTTCAAAGCAAGTGCAAGAGATGCCAAAAAATGAACTTACAGTGAACTTGAAGTATGATCCTATGGCTTACAGAAGGCGGAACTCCATTGGAAGCGATACATAAGTAGGCTCCCATGTGTAAGCGACTCACTTTGGTAATGTTTAGTTGCGCCCCCTTATGGACTTTTGCTGAAAGAGATAGGTCTTCGACAAACTTAGAAACTGTGTAAATACAAAAGCACGCTACAATAATTTCAAAATGGTCATTGATCCCTAAAATATACAGGTACGATATCTTATATGATATACATAAACTGTAAAATTAATACAACAAAGACGCTTGGAATAAGAAATGACATGATGTACTAAAAAACTTCCTAAAAACAAGGACATTATATACATACATATATCATGTGTTAGATAACGTATTATTAATAGAGATGATTAGAACAGGTGTTGTGATGGCCTAAATAATTAGAGATCTATGAAGCAACCAATGAACAAAAAATATTCCACTTTCATTGGAAGCGTTCTACTGTCAGTTTTGGTTAGTGTTTCAGTGAACGCTCCTGAAAAAGCCGTAGAGTGAGACGTTGAGTGTTTAATTAAATAAAAACGACATTTTGGTGTTATAAGGTCGTTTATTTCTAGTATTTATATGTCTTCTATACACCATTATGCACTACAGAAATTAAATACTCTTAACATTCGACAGAGTATAAGTAAACAAATACAATGTCTTACGTTCAACACAATAAAAACTCAAGCAAGTAAGTACACGCTGTATCTAGTTGAATACAATTCAGCAATTTTCAATTTTTTGTTTTTCAGGATAATACATTTCGAACATGACGAGATACTCTAATTTGTGAAACGGGATTTTACCTTCCTTTCTATTACTTTTAGATATTCCCGTATGTTAAATATTGTACTTACTTTACACATTAAGCACCTACAATTTAAAGATTTTGCTCTTAATATTTTGGGATTATGAAAATCACATTGGTCACTCTTTCAAAATTTCAAATGTATACAAAAACAGTTTATGATTTATTTTGTTACCAAACTTTTTTTCACCGATTAGGTTCAGACGTTTTTGCTTATTTGTCAAGGAACTCAACTTTTGCTAGCAAATAATTAATGAAAGCTGCTTTATTGAAGAATTCAGATTTTCAAAGTGTAAATTTTAGTTTTTTGCCATTTTAGATTTGCAATAAAGCTGGTTACTGATGTTATGGTTGAGGGTTGTTACTTCAGTTGAAAACCTTCCGATTCTTTAAACTATATGTTTCTCTTGACCTTTTTCAAGATGTGAATAAATCATGATTTAGATACCCTGTTTTATACACAAGATAAGTGAATGACTAACAACGTAGATATCCTGTTTTATACACAAGATAAGTGAATGACTAACAAAGTAGATATCCCGTTTTATACACAAGATAAGTGAATGACTAACAAGGTTCTCTTATTTGAAAATTATTAAATATTTGTATACATTTACCTTGAATCATATTATTCTGCCAGTTTCCAACGGCCAGAGGCTCCCCGTCTTCACGTCTCCATGTGACCGTAGGGGTGGGGTAACCCTTCGATCGGCACGTGAGAGTCACATTAAACCCCTCGCGAACCAGAACATCGGAGCTACTTTCAGACCCAAGGATTTCTGGAGGCACTGAAGAGAAAGATAGGCTTGTATAGCAGTGGAGCAGGCTTAATTAAGCCTTAAGCTCTTGGCTGAGCTCACTGATAACCAACAATGGCGTTCATTGATATCATTATAAGATTACAGGGGATTATTTCATCACACAAAACACAAGATAGGCTTACCACGAAATTAATACATACAAGGTCTGCAAAATCACGACGTTGTTCGTTGAGGCACAATCACAAAAAATCTAATTTATCAAATAACTAGGCACTCATTTCAATTCATGACGTCACTTCGGATATAGAAAGATTATTACCAAAAAATCTTAGATATTTTTATAGGTTTTAAATTTATATTTCTTTGTTTTAGATCGTACCGATTTCAAAAGCTAAAGAACGGCGTATTCTTTTATTCACATCTACATACGGCGAAAAGAAGACCATATCCTGTAAGCCTGGCGAAGTCGTACTCTGCATAGCTCATTAACTGACATTGAAACCGGACGTAATTAATGAAACTAAAACGAAGATCGGTGCATATGTGCTATATTTGTATTTTTAAAATCTCTTCCAAAACAGATCTGTCACTTTCACCTTAACATATTATAAACAGCGTATCAGAAAACCTAACCTTGCAAGAAAGTTATGAAAGGATTTTTTTTTAAGTTACTCGATAGTAGCCCCCTCTACCTGTGACTCAGCGGCAAGTATGAGGGTTTATATATCTTCCGTGGGCAGAGCACAGTTACACCATTGTAGCTTCTGACTTAACAACAAAGAAACAAACAAAATATTTAAAAGTAAAGTTCAAACCTTCAGCATTTCGTACAAAAACGTTCTGACTTTCCAACATTAAAAATTAAAAATATTCTTAATTTTGTGAAGTTTCTCTAAGAACTGTGTTTAATGTAGTTCTTATTTAATTTCGGATAATGTTTACTTATGTAATCGTCATCATATTGTCGGGAAAATGTACGAAATTTTTGGCACAATAATGCCATAATTTGTGGAATTAGAACAGACATAAAAGTTAACTGAAAAAAAAATATATATACGTGAACATTAAACGTTACTTATTGAAAAGTCCGATTACTTATACGACTTTCTAGAGTAATAGTACTGTTTCAAAGTATCTAGTTTATCGTCGAAAATAACAACACAAAGCGATTATAGGTGACGCGTGTCCTGTTAGAAACCAAACTGTCCATTTCGTAAATCAATAGTTTCTACTGTGTGGTTATGGGTGACGGAACAATTATGATTGTTTTAATTTTCAGCTTGAGTAATCTGAAAGTGAATTACAAATTGCACAAAACTGTTTCTTTGTTAAAGAAAGTGTTTTAAGAGCATGCATGAAATCATTACACTGTTAAAGTAAGTATGAAGTGATTACATTCGTGTATTTTGTATTTATGACAAAGCTACTATGATTGGTTGTCGCCAAAGAGAAGACAGCTAGTCAATAGCACCCTAACACCCACCATCCACGCTAAGGGATTGATTGCAACTCATATAACGCAATCATAGCTTAAACTGTGGTTAATAATTTGTAGTATAACACGGATTCGAAAGCAGCTCGCCAGCTCTGAAATCCAGAGCTATACTACAGGGCCATCTCTTGCCCCAAATTTATCAGTTTTGCTTTCATAGAACAACTTACCAAACACATCGAGGTATCCAACCTGACTCTTCATTGGGACGGTGTTAATCTGGCACATGTACCCTCCCCTGTCAGACTCTTGGACATCACGAATGTGCAGTACCCAGTTTCTGTGGTCATTATGACTGAGATTGACTCTATAGTTCCTTGTGATCACATTCTGGTGGATGGTCAATATAGTTTTACTCTCAACCCTTAACCAGGCCACCTAAATAAATGGTCCAAGATATCATGAAAACTTAGATCATATGTAATCATAAATCGAACCAAATAATTTTCCTACTTATTGAAAGAATTCAAGCTTATATTTATAAATTTTACTACTACAACAAACATCTACAAAACATAACCAAAGTAAAATATTATTCTACTAAATGAACCGAGCGTGGTCTGTAGCAAACACTACTGTGAATCTGGAAAGATTTAAAACACAAGCTCCCTTTTCAAAATTTATATTTGTTATAAAAAGACGTAAGTCTTAGAATTAGATGGGTCTGATTTTTTTTTAAGGAGCTGTGTTAAGATTAAAACTATATATATCCCTTAATATTATAATACGAGGTATTAATACATAGATATCAGTTAACTAATAATGGTCTTTGAAACAATTACTCTTATTTTTAAAAATAGTCAAATGTATAAAAAACTGCATATTTGGGATTTCCCAGACCTAAATAAATGTCATAATTCCGAACTATGGAATTCAGAATTTGACCACAATTCTATAATTCTGCATCACTGAACTTGAATCGATTAATCAGAATGAAATGGAGTTACTTGATTGTTTTTCTTTCCCTAGTTACTTCTTTAGATTTAAAAATTCTTTACGTTAAGACTGTTCTTACGGGGTCACTGTATTCTTTGAGGAAGTACCCAAGAGATATAAACATTAATCAAATCATAGTCATGTATCTAAAATGCTAACATACGGATGACATACTTCCTTTATGTACTCCCTTTATGAAACTACATATTTTAGAAAATAATACGTAAAATATGAGACAATTTTAATTTGTAAATATAGTTACAATAGTAACAAATAGTAACAAATTTAATAGTAACAAAAAATAAAATAATTTTTGTTTCTTCACGTGAAGTGGCACAGCGGTATATCTGCGGACTTACAAAGCTAGAATCCTGATTTCGATACCTGTGGTGGGCAGAGCACAGATAGCCCATTGTGTAGCTTTGTGCTTAATTATAAATAAACAATAAACAATAAACTTCACGTGAATAAATACGAAAATATATAAATAAAACGAAATATATTTGAAACAATGTTTCCAATGCCGATTTCATGTAATTAATTATTGGTAAAATAGAATCCGAATAAAATGTAACTAAAACCTGTCAAAAGTGGGTCAATGAAGGTATAATGATTAAACATTTAATGACTTCGCAACAGTGATAATCAGATTAAAAGGATCTTCCTGTCTGACATCATGAATATGTTAAGTTTAACATCAAACAAACAGTGATTGATGATTTGTTAAACAGAAAATAATATACATTGCCTTAGTTACCAACACTGTAACATGTACCCATATACAGAGGGTTGAATACGTTATATCTAAACTTTTTTGAATATACAAACCGGCAATTTACGTGACGACTACAGCCGATATAAAGAATTGTATCAGAACTACATTTTCGTATTGTTTAGCGTTTCTTAGGTAGTTTTATGTCACTGAAAACTGATCACTTTTGGAAAGGGTAAGTAAAAGCCTGTTCCGACATAAATATTTATACACTCAAACCATAAAATTGATTTCGGATTGGGGACTTAGAATTATCAACACAGGGATATTTCTTGTACTTAATGATATTGTAAAGCAGAATAATCAATTGTTGATACTAGGACCATCGAAAAAGAGACTTGCAACAAGTCATACTTCAGCTGTGGTAAGCAAAATACAGTGTCTTGTAGCAGTTGAGAATCCAAAAACTTAAAGGCCAGAGACAAAAGCCTTTCATGTTTCCCAGGCAACAGTACACAACATAATCAAGAAAGATGTCCGTCCTGAAACGAGACCAACAGGGTATGGGTTGACCAAGATAAGGCTTGAAGTCATGCCTTTCATTCAACCGTCACATACCTCAAGCAGCGGGAGAATGAAACATGTATTCATGTTGTTCCATATAAAGACATACGTGTGGATTTCTGTGCGACCGGACTATTGAAACGAACGCTGTAATATATTGTCCTCGTACTCTAGATGAATTATAGTCAGCGTGACAAGAGAAGTGGAGTGCTTTGAACATTGTTTAGAATGTTTAATATGTCTATTCTTTATTATTATATTTTTATTATAAAGATTAGTTTATATTACTACCTTAGTATATAGATTTAGGATTAACTTAAATTTTCTAAGTTGTCACATGCACCTGCCTGAAGGCGGCAACAGGTTACAATTAACTAAATGATAATCAGAAGTATATGATATTATAAACTACTAACTATACAACGATCCACACTTACAACATTAGCACAGCTTGTACATCACCAGCATTATGGAAGTATACTAACAAATGTCACATGAAGTTTTTCTAACCTGATGTCGTACACTGAAGTTATCAAGGCAATCACATACCACATGAAAGTATTATATAACGTAACATTTAACATATATTCCCCCACATAGCATCAAGAGCAAAAAAAACATCATGATAACTACTCCATGACGTATACATGTCTAACGGTAGGACAAAACCAGCCTGTCACACATATTTTAACATGGGCAGTGCTAGTCAGAAAAAAGATTCACCAAACTGCGATTGATTGGTTTGATCTTTACGCTAGAGCCTAGAGGAGCTTAGGACCGGCCAAAGCTCAATAATTCCGTCGCAGTACATGTGTCAGCCCGCCGTCCCTCATTCCGAACCACAGGAGAAAGTAACCGGCCAGCAGCAACCATTTTAACTTTTTCTTTATTATTACTTATTATTTGTTTCTTACTTATTTAATTTTTATATTTATCACCAAGTATCCAGTGTAAATTACATTATTGTAGTACTGTTATACTTAGAAGAGCTTCGTATAGACTCTCTTCCCTTCAATAATCTCCTCAAAGTTCCGTAACATCTGTTACGTCTGCTATCTAAATGACAAGGAAAATGTACTAAACCGAAATTCTTGCTTTTTCTAAAATTTCACATACCATGTTATACATTAAATATTATACTATGCGTGATATATTTTATTTTACGTTATATATTATACATCTAAAAATAACATATTACTGAGTAGGTTTAAACACTTATGGAAGTATGTATCTGCACTACTAGGCCTAATGCTGCCACTTCAGGCCTAGCTGTATCTACAGATATTAACCTGTTTAGTCTTCTAAACACTTATGGAAGTATGTATCTGCACTGCTAGGCCTAATGCTGCCACTTCAGGCCTTGCTGTATCTCCAGAAATTAGCCTGTTTAGTCTTCTAAACACTTATGGAAGTATGTATCTGCACTGCTAGGCCTAATGCTGCCACTTCAGGCCTTGCTGTGTCTCCAGAAATTAGCCTGTTTAGTCTTCTAAACACTTATGGAAGTATGTATCTGCACTGCTAGGCCTAGTGCTGCCACTTCAGGCCTTGCTGTATCTCCAGAAATAATAAGCCCGAGACCCTAACAGTATGAAATCCAAACTAATTATGGTAAAAATATCGTGAATTACCTACTCCAGAATTTAATGATAAATAAATAATGTATTGTTGTAAATTACACAATTCGTGCTTTAGCAATCTATAATAATAAAGGGCGTGTCTGTGTGACTGCGTGTATATGTATGACCACCACAGCTCCAAGAGGAAAGACCCTAGAACCCAGAAAATTTTGAACCCATACTAAGAGGACCCTGAGGGTGTGCCCTGAGTATTATTACTTATCTTATCCACGTGCTTGCGCGAATGCATCTTTTTAATAAGGAAAAGTAGCGAAAAACCACATAGAATGGAAGTGTTTTTATGTTTCTGTGAAATAAAAATGTTTAAAATATATTTCACTATCCTTCTATGCTAAAATAGGTTCAGAATACATACATTGACATAGTTATCTAAAATATATCAACCTAATAGCCCGAGCGAAGCCAGGTACTTTCGCTATTGATGAAATAAATAAATAAATAAACTTAAGAAAATAGATTAAATACTTTAGTATTCTGACATTCATTTTCTTTGAATAAAATAACAACAAAAACACGTTTATCACCAGTCTACTAACCTATATTAACTTATATCATATCATGCTTATTATTAGCCTGATGATAAACACTCAAAGAAACCACAACAAGACTTATAATACACTGATAAATACTACACCATGTTTATGTAATATACAACATTAAAATCGACATGCGAAACAACATGAGTATCACCATACTGGTGACGCACTCTTTAGTACCACATCAAGAACATCACAAGCCTGGTGACGTATTATTGTTTTATACCATACAAGCTGAAATACCCGTCAACTGACGGGGAATATTTAAACTTAATTAAAACAATGCAAGTTTAACAGCAATCTTATATTTCAAAGTAATAACTTGAACATAAACTTTATCTCAAAATTATAAAATTATAAAAAAGCTTCTTCATAAGTAACAGTTTGTTTTCCATCTACCAAGAAATAAATATTTTGATGTGATCTCACCCTTGAACACCCTACATCTCATTGACCGTGAGAGAAAAATGGTTGTTTGAGAAACAATCCAGCAATCTTCATACTTTGTCTAAATCGTCATCCTGCCAAGATTGATTCAATAGGCTGGGAGTAATTAACCAAAGCGTTTAAAAATAGGAATAGGGTTAAGGACATTCCCCATATTTCATAGTGTTTACATACAAATTTTGGTTGAGATTGGTCCAGTAGGCTCGGAGGAGTTAGGGTGCAAACAAACACACATTTCGTCTTTATATATATATAGATCAACGTTATCACCAGCCTGGTGATGTACTGTAATCTTGTTTTATACCATATTAAAGCTATCTCCAGTATCATGATGTACTGTACTATATCCAGTCTTGATACGTACTATACTCTTTCTTATTTCATACAATTTCGAGGTTATCGCTAGTCTAGTAGCAGGCTCCTGTTTTATACCATATTAAGGCTATCACCAGTGTGGTCATGTACTGTACTATATGCAGTCTTGATACGTACTATACTCTTTCTTATTTCATACAATTTCGAGGTTATCGCTAGTCTAGTAGCAGGCTCCTGTTTTATACCATATTAAGGCTATCACCAGTGTGGTCATGTACTGTACTATATGCAGTCTTGATACGTACTATACTCTTTCTTATTTCATACAATTTCGAGGTTATCGCTAGTCTAGTAGCAGGCTCTTGTTTTATATTAAGGCTATCACCAGTGTGGTGACGACTATATTTTAAACCAAATGAACATCACTATCATCTTGTCGATGTGCTCTTTTTTTTTGTACCATGTATAAATCATCATGAGCTTTTTGACAACAAATGAAAGTACTATTTTGCCCGGTTACCTGGATAATCTATCTTTATATCATATCAAGGTTATCATCAGCCTTGTGACGTATTGTCACAGAAAGGCTAACACCAGATAGAAAAACAACAGCAATCGCATACACAACAAAAGAGAGCACCACTATGCTGATACAAACACACACACACACATATATAAATAATACGCTTGCGTTTGTCTGTCCGGAACTTTTCTCGCAAATGTCTCCATTAAACACAACAAATCTTATATTGTTATAAAGTCCTTTGTCCAAGAAGTCCGGATTACATATTGGCTTTTCCATTCAGAATCACCTTACCTGTTTTTTTGTTTAATCAAATTTTTTAATGCAGTGAGCATGGTACACGATGGCATAAATTCGTTGTCATCACGTGATGATTGGTCACGACTGGCTTTGATTTCAACTTTAATTTTTTATTTGCAAAGTTTTTCACACGAACAACACTTAACCCGCGTGTGATTTCCTAAAGAAATTAACAATACACCAAATATAATTGCTATGAGCTAGCTTTTTTGTTTTACCTAGGTCTAAAATACTCATACGCAGTTCGTTCAAAACCATAAGTTTATCACTTTGTGAACACGCATTTAGACGTTTCTGCATATTCAGCTAAATCTGCCTTCATTACAATTTTACATTTACTTTACTTTGCAATTAATTAGCTTCAGTTCGTTTCATGGACTGCTATAAACACCTTTTAGCTACTTTTTTCGTTAGCACGGGTGTTATTCTTTGTTTCAATTCGTAAAACCGTGGCATATACACTCCTAACGGTTTCGTTCTCTGTATGTTCTTAGTTCGTAATAGAAGTCTTGGCATTTTTGTTATGTTATCGCACTCTTTTTATTCTCAAGTTAGCGAAAGAAATTATAAGATAGCAACAAATTCGATGTTTTATAAGATTAATTTTTCGAACCATTTAAACTCAAAACGACACTTTTTTCATAAACTTATTTTTCTATATGTATGTCTATCGTGCAAAGTAGTAAAATATTTTATTATAACACATCTAACTTTATCCATTGTAATGTGATTTTTCATGTAAATTCAATATAATAAAACCTCAGAATAATATTGAATGAATACTTTTACCACTAACTTGAAATAAACATTAAAACACGACAACCAACAGTTGAATTCTCATGTGAAATAAATTGTTTAAAGTTCATGGTACAAATGAAAGACTTTGTTTAACACGATAAAACTGGCGAAGGGTATTGATACCTTAAACTACTTACATATTAGAAATATTAGTACGAAATAATATAACAAGATATTTAAATGGACATTGTGTCTACATATATGGTGAAAAGTGTTTTGATACTATTGCACCGGTGTTGTAAAAACACTCAGTTCATAATCTAACTTCAACGTTTATTGTTTAGTTAAGCTAACTTAACAACCTACAAATAGAAATGGTACACATTAAGCCTAGTAGTTTGCACTGTGTGGTGCAGTTGTAGCAAATCGCACAAATCTGTTTTCAGTATTATTTGTAACTTACCCTCCTGATAGTTGCTTATTTTTCATTATAAAGTTATATATTTTTGTTTTTCATATTAATAATACAGGTACATAACCTTCTTGAGAAAAGTCCATAAACGCTAATTAGTCTCCTTTACCTTGCTAGTAAAATCGCTCCAAATGGTGATCACATTGGATAAAAATTAGAAAATAACAGTTTGACAGAATCTTGTACCGTAGTCAAACGTCGCTGAAGCAGTTAAATGGAGAGAATGTTATAGGCTAAGCCTGTATCATTCTATGGCTAAAAATAGTTCTAAATAGTTCATGAAATGACATATTATCATGCCTGATTTTAAAACGACCTTTTAACATCAAATTGCCAGGTAACATAAGCTCTGGAAAACTCATTGCTCGAAAGTTCAACAAGATAGGTAAGTCAACATAATGCTTGCTTTCGTTAACCTGAAAGACAGGACAGTTATTAAATTTCTGATAGTTTGGTGAGATGCTTAGAAAAAAATCTCGGTTACGGAAGTAAAATCAAACTAGAAAAATTCAACATATTTGAGAAAAGACAGTTAATCTAAAATTACGAAACTTCTCGTTTTCCGTAACAAATGCTTGTAGGAAAGAATGGTATGAGCTAGTAGTAAAATTACTTGGATGTTATGTACGTATAAACAAGAAAGATCGGCATTATTGAAAATCGGTTCACACTCCATGGGTGGGTGCTTGTGTTTCCTCTAGTTTGTAGGTGAAAGTCAACTCGGATACTACAAATAGGTGCAGCTGTCAGCATGCTTTAGACATCTGTCATCTGCCAAGAAATCGAAGTGTTGTTCATAGAAAGATCTTAGTAGAAAGATGACGAGTGAAATAAATACTATCCAACAGAAACTGTGTATGGATATATTTTAATAAAAGTTTACACAAAGGAGAAATAATAAAGTAAGTTCATGAAACCAACAGACTTACCCGGTATGTTCCCAAATTATCCACAACACAAAGAAGTTGTGCAGTGCGTCCTACGGCGACTGTCACATTGCGGACTGGTTCGGCGAATTCAGGTTCTTTGTTGTAGCCTGCGAGCAGAAAGTGCCAATCATTCAAACATCAAGTTATAGTGAAGGAAAACAGTGGTGTGCAAATACACACATATATATATGTATACTTCCTTACTTTGAATAGTGTTTTGTTTTGTTTTATATAAGGAAGATACTAACACTAAAAGTTTTTCTCGAGTGTACAGGAATACACGTCTAGGAACTGAATTAAGATTAGTAATACAGTGTATGTTTCTTTATTATTTTGATGTTTGTGTTAATAGATATGTATACGTTTATCTAACTAAAATGAGATAATTCACATGATATTTCATAAATTTAAATACAAAACTAGAATATTTTCAATCCTGATACATCAGGGAAGTACCATAAGATTTTTTAAGCCATAACCGTTTGAATTCAGTCTCTTTCTTAATACTAAACAGCATTAATATTTCCATAACATTTTACTAGATATTAAAAAAGCATGATTTGTCCTTATTTTTATCATCAGTTTATTTTTCACCAATTAAGACTTTCTTGTTTATCACATGTAGCTGTATAAGTACAAAATATAAAACAAATATAGCTTATCTCTGACCACTTTTAACATTGAATTTACTCAACAGGCAATGTGGTTTCTGATCATATTTAATAGTAAACGCCAATATGGAGCTAATGATGCAACACCTAATTAAAACTCTGTGTGAACACTTCTTCACCCCCTGCACAAATTACATGCTTATATCAATCTGATACACTTCGGATTACAGCTTTAATTGCAATTTGAAGGAAGTGTTGCCACTCCCCAAATAAATCTCAAGTTTCTCTCTCTCTGTAGAATGGCTCAACTTTGTTGAACTGAGTTAAGCCATTCCATGCGTGTACGAAAAACACTGTAACAAAACTAAAAATGATTCAGCACCTTCTTGCAAGTATTTTATTTAGCAGAAATACGAGCCAAGAATATACGAGAATGATATCACACAGTCAACCAGAATTTTCTCCTTGTAGCGCTAATAAATCACTTAACTCTTTCAATGGGGTGTAGGCCTGCAAGTCCATAAAAACTAACACCAGCGCACACCAAAGTTAAATCACCTTCGAAAGCAGCATCTTATTCAATATGCACATTTCTGTAAAATTACCTAAATGATTTTAAAACTCTTGTACAAGAAAAATCAAGATTCTTCTTCAGAGCAACATACATAGTTCCAGTAGTCTGTTGTCCATTCGCTTTGCTCAAATGGTAAGGTCAGTTGTGCTTTAGGTGTCTTATGATGAAAGTATTAAATCTGGTTACTTTTTTAGTCTCAATGTGATCTGACTGTCCCAAGGTGTTTTCTTTTTTGGAGGGAGGGTCCTAGAGGATACAGATTATGAAGTTCCCTGAAATAACCAGTCAATAATTGTTTTATTCTACTTCTTTTTTATTTTCCCTTTTACTAAGATCTCATTAATTAGCACTGTCACCTACTTATTTAGTCCAGATTCCACAGCCTACAAGCAAACTTTAAAGTTTAGCATTTCATTGAAGATTTTAATAATCAATTTCAGAATAAATAATAAAAAGTAAGATTTAAGAATTATTTAATTTTCAAAGTATAACAGCCCATCATCATGTGATCATACTAAAAACATATAACGTATAATTTTTTGTATAATTCTAGCACAAAATTTGCTTAGAATGTTGATGAAATTTCCAACGTTGTTTGTAAATTAGGCTTAAATGAATTAGCGTGTTTTTGCCGTGCTGCAAAATATTGTTTTCCGCAAAGCTCTGCTACGATGTCACGCATACATGGCAACGGCCTTGACAAACAAAATGCATTGATGCGATTTGTTTCCGGACTTTAGAGACAATATTAAAATGTTTCATACCACATGATGCACTCTCAGACAATTATAGTAAATACTCTTGCTAGTGGGTAGAATAATGCGTTTTAAGGACCAATGCATAAATAAACCCATCAAAACTTTGATTATCAAAAAGTAGACCCAATAAGCTTTCAAGGGCTATACTACGTCTTTTTTCGAGAAAAATACCATATATCAACATACGTTTTGAAGTTGCTTGCATATTATAGCAATTTAAACATCATATGAGTATGCCCAGCCAATGTAGCCTCCCCACTCGTGGCGCAGCGGTATGTCTGCAGTATTATAATGCTATAAACCGGTTTTCGATACCCATTGTAACCACAGCACAGATAGTCTATTTTGTAGCTTTGTCCTTAATTACAAACAAACAAATGTAACCGTTAAAGTTTATCGAAAGATAAGTTATTTGTTCTTTTTAAAACAACCTGTTTTGTACGTAACAGCACGTTTAAATTTTCGTCATAATTTTGTGTTTCGTTCCTTTGAGCGATTTCAATCAGTATTGGCCCTTGCTGCCAAACTAAAAGCTGTACAACTGTTATTTTTTTTCAAAAAAGTTGCCACTTCTTTTTGGCCCATCAGTTGATGTAAACATTACACTATCTTTCTTCTGTTCTAAACACCAGACTCCTAACTAACTATTTTTCTCTGCAGTGAGCCATTGAAAATTTTTGTATCTACCACAGCTTGACAAACAGGTTGAGCCAAGAAAACAATAGGATAATTTTTGTATTGGAATCGTTCTATTGTTCCTCAGGTGGCGTCCCAAAATGTTCAAGGGTAGTTCACTTGAGTTCGGGCTGGAGCTCTTTACTAGGTAAGGAATATTCTGGACGTTATAGAACGAAAACCACTATTGTTGGATACGATATGCAGTATTACATTGTATATTAAAATACTGAATACGTATAATAATTCCCATAGAAATCCATCAAAAGTAGTGTAGAAACTGTCCAGGATTTCACAACACAAGGCATTCATAGCTGATTAAACACTTTTTATTGCTGATAAGACACGGGCATTCTTCGCTTTCAAACCCAAAATTATCCTTTTGAAGCAAGCAATAAATAATGGGATTTATCTTTCCACACCATGATTTTTCTAATTTTCTTCACTCCAATGTAAACACTCAAACATTGTAAGAGTCAATACATTGCATTAGTGACTGTGATGAGCGGTTTATAGGTTTGTAGCAACATGAAACCCACTACAAAGTATGTTGGCCTATAATTTTGAACTCTCATTAAAGTTCTGAGTAATATGTCATCTACAGATATCAGTGCTCTGTTTGTAATAGTGCGTATATAGATTCGACGATGAGAAGGCTTAGTAATCGAGTTAAAGAACATAGCGTGTCAAGGTATGCAGAATTCTCAAACATTTTCCGACATAAAGAAAAATGCGTGAATGTAAATGTAAAAATTGAACAGTTCCAAATTATCGAAAAGACCAAAAATGAGCTTTGGCTAAGATTAAAAGAAACATTAGCCATAAATAATTTAGCCCCTGAACTAAACAAAAAATCCAGCACCGGTGAGCTGATGTTAAAAGTGTGATAAGAGAGAAAAAAAATCTCATGTTTGATATTACCTTGTGTTAGTTATTTAAATAAATTTAACGCTAAGTATGTGTGGTTTCGTTCAACAAACCGTTTTCAAAGTTTGCGTGGACAAAGGAGTGGTGATTATCAGGCTATCAGGTAGATATTCCACATTAATACATCCAGAGGTCCTCTGTTTCTTTAGTGCATTACCATAGAGGTATGGTTATGAGTATAGGTAGGCTGCAATATTACCAACACTCGTACCATTAGTGCTGCGGGCAAACCCCAGATGTAATGAAGCATTATATAAATATTTGAAATAGGGTTATATTCGAATATCTTATCGAATTTGTTATTCTAGATTCTGACTTTCACCCACTGCTTAAAAGATCCGTGAGCTCTTTCCTTCGTGAGATTTTTATTTTTATAAGCCATATACTATCGAATTCACACGCAAGTTAAATGGAACGAACTCATTACTAGCTAGGGGTATGATGTCACTATAGCATATATAACATTTCTCTAATAGAAATATAATTTTTGTTTAAAGAACATTTTAATCGTTTCATATAAGGTTTAGTTTGAATTTCGCCCAAAGCTACTTGAGGGCAATCTGCGTTAGCCGTCCTTAAATTATCAGAGAGGGAAGGCAGCTAGTCAGCACACCCACCGCTAACTATTGAGCTATTCTTTACTCAAGGACAATGGAATAGACCGTCACATTGTAATACCCCCACGGCTGAAAGGGTAACGGGGATTCGAACCTGCGACCCCCTGATTGCGAGTCGAACACCCTGACCATCATGTCACTTCAGATAGTGATATTCCTTAACTCTCTATAAAATATCATGAACTTGCATAATTTATGGAGTATTGCTGAAGATTTGAGAATTTAGGATTTACAATTTTGTTCGGTCCATTTGGATACCGAGAGCCAGAACACTACAGTATAGCAACAAAATACTGTTACAAGATTTCACATAGTAGATTTAATTCAAGACATTAGTAATATGAGGCTATTAACTATAACAGTTTTGGTGTCTTCTTAGCCCCAGACGTTTCCATAGCCTCGAGTAAACTTGGTTTCTGGTGCCTCCAAACAAATCTTATGCATTGTTATAGGATTTTAAAACCTTATCTCTACTATAATTGCAATTACAAAGTGCAGTTACGTTTTATTTTATCACCACCAAACTCTCTGTTCACATTTGGGAGTTACTGAGCTGATAGCATGTATTACATAGCAGTATGTATTTCTGAAACCTGAATTACTCCCTCTAAACATCATAGCTCAATTACTTCCTTTTACAACCATGTTGACCTTTATATTATATTATATTGCTTGTGATTCATTTGTGAGTTACTGGGCTGATAGCATGTATTACATAGCAGTATTTCTGAAACCTGAATTACTCCCTCTAAACATCATAGCTCAATTACTTCCTTTTACAACCATGTTGACCTTTATATTATATTGCTTGTGATTCATAACATATGCGTCCAGAATTTGAATATATTATGGAAAAGCAGGTAACTGAACTGTCAATTGCAACACATTCTACGAGCCACATCAACCCCTCAAAATGTATGTATCCTCCTACACCTTTCTTTTATA